GTGGCACTTTATAGCTGGTTTCATTGCCTCGTTGTCACGGTATTGCATTGTATGTTATCGCGTAGAGAAACGGGGTCTCGCTGCGGGAGACAAGCCCATATAGCACGATTGATTTAAAATCACCATGGAGATCATAGCGAGCATGCTACTTGTACGCGGCAAAACACGCAGAGAGGACGGCGCGGAATTTATCATCGGAAATAGGTAACAAAGCAGACAAAGCCGCCTGCAGCCAGCATCGCGGCAATTAGTATAGCGCGCATAATGGACCGCAAGCTGATCCGACAATGAAACACATACAATACGGAGTTAACGATGTCTCTTTTCAATACAATCCTTTATCGAAGTAGTTAAAACGGGGAAATCGAAATCCTCCTCCCATATTTTTCCCCCAACATTTTGTCCTTGTTAAAACAAATTAAAAAAAAAAAAAATAGGAATCTTGCAATTCCGGCTTTAATTTCGAAGGTGTTGCAAAATTTTGCAACACGATCGCTCTTTTTAATAATCGCTCATTTACATAATGCGTGCTTTATGTTTATCGGGTGTTTGTGTCTTTAAGTTTCGCGAAAGACGCACGAATGTATTTCAGTTTGAGAAATCTCGCTTGGCGACTCGATTAAAATGTTTCTTCGAATGTATTCATGGATAAAACGTCCCGGCGATTTCGTGAATCGCTAAAGCGTTCCTCCTTCGAACTTGGAGAACTCTCGTTCGGTTGGCCCAAGTTGAACTTACGTGTGCGTGACACCTTTTGACAACCCCCCCCTCGCGTTTGCCACAGAGATCATCCGGTCTGAGCGTCCCTGGTATAATCGCATCAAACGACAAATCTGCAGCACCGGAACATAAGGGCGCGAACCGTGGACCGAGAGTTGCGAGCGCGGGGAGCGGGGGATCGACCGGTGCAGCGGGCGAGGGGGGCGGAAGAGCTTGGGGGTCGGGAGATGATCGTAGGCAGTGTCACGTGCTGCTGTCACTAGCACGGATTATATTATATAGGAATGGCAGCGAATAGGTGTAGATATAAGCACCGAGCGGCAGTTAATAAATATGATAATGGCGGGCGGAATGAGAGAAAGAGGGTGGAGGGGGAGGTGTGTGTGTGGGGTACGATATGGGATACCACTGTATAAGAGTGACCACCAGAAGCGGAGGCCTGTCATTGTCAGGACCTCTCGTCGTATGTCACACGACACGTAGGCGCGTGCACACACATATAAAGCGCGCGCGCGCGCGCGCGCGTGCTGACGTGGTAACACACGCGAGGATGTTATTTTCACGATTTTCCTTTCCTTCCACGGCAGCGGGATAGACGCGGATTCAGAGCGGATTACGTCTCGCTCGTTAATTTCCTTAAATTTGCTCGTTATAAATTCCAATTGCGTCGCGCTCTAGACGCTAGGCGCGCCGTCCGTTTGAATTAATAATAATCGTCGCAACGGTAATTCGCTTGGGCGCTTTCCTTTCCGTCTTGTGTTCGCCTTTTGATCCAACGCATAATTTACATCCTAAACGCGCCGCATTATTACGACGTTTCGTGCGTTCACGCGTATCTTTCTGCAATGCCAAGCGTCGCGCCGTCCCGCTTCTCCCCCCGCGCCGCACCGCGTCGGAGCAATTAGTCACGGTGCATTTAATAAATCGCCAACTCCCGCTTAGCCTTGGGAGGGTTAAGTCATGCCCCCCTCCCTCCCCTTCTCTCTTACTCTCTCCCCTTGGAAAATATCCAATAACGACCGACTGACTCTGCTCATCGTCGGCGGCCCCGCTCGGCTTCGCTCCGCTTCACGTTTGGCATTAAACCTTTACCTATCCGTCGAGGAGATCGGCTTACCTTAATAATTGTAGGTACACGTCGCGCTTCATGGGGGTTACAACATTACAAGACCAAGGCGGCCGTGCCCTCGATCTCGTCCGGATTCGTAGGGGGTGCGCCCCTCGCGCAGGGGTGTTACCATGGCGTCTATCCAGGCTGACGCTGAAAAGCGTTGTCAAGGCGAAGTGATCGAAAATCGCGAGAGATGTAATGAAACATTCTTAGCAGCACGTATTTTGATTGGAGAATGGCACTCCTCGCCCAGGTGAGAGTGCTCGTAAGGGAGCCAAAGCTGACTCGATAAGTTCTAAGGGCGTTCTAAGGGCGTACGCTTAACGACACGCTAATCACTACACAAATAGATGAATGATTTTTCATAAGATAATTAATAAATTAATTATTAAAATAAGGGCGAAAGATAATAGCGTGAGAAAATGTCTGGGCAAACTTAAGGTTTAAACTCAATTCGATTCTAAAGATCTGCAAAAAGATATAAAACAATAGTGTAAAATAAGGTTCTGCGCATAATGGAGAAAATATTAGGAATAGGAATAAATATTAAACATAGCGTAATGCATAAATGAACAAATATAGTTATAATCTTAAACTTATTTGTGTCCATTGTGCATTATGTTTAATTTTTATTCCTAATTCTTATTTTTTTATGTCCAAAATGTAATATTTATTCCTGTTCCTAATATTTCCTTCATTGTACGCAGAGCCTAAATAAATTTATAAACTTTTGCAATATTGCTAATCGACTCGCTAAGTACTCATGTTACGAATTATAAAGAACAAGACTCGTTGGTGTTTGAATAAGTATCGTTTTATTAATATCTCTCTTATTATTTACAAAACTTTATAATAATCTCTAGCTGATTTTCTCACCATGACACACTACTCACTATCGTCAATCCTATACTTTTTTTTTTTTTGTTCTGCATAATCGTTATACTGTAATGCTCGATAATGCTCTGTTCTCTAAATCGTTTATGTATAATGAACGTCGTCGCCCGATTTAGAAATTCGTTGTCGACATGCGCGCGACACACTTCTGTCTCTTTTCGCACAACGTCGCTTATAACAAATGTGTATTTACAATATAAGTATCATTTACAATTGAACGTGCGAAGTCGTAAACTTGTTCTAAGATCCTCACTCGCGACGCGAACGCGCGGAACATTTATCGAATTTTAAAAACGCCTCGACCCGTTTCTCGCATTCGCTCGCGTCTCTTTCATCATCTCACTTCGTTTTCTTTTCTTGCAGAAAAGGAAAACTTACTCTCTCTCTCTCTCTCTCT